CCGCTTGGGCGCCCCACGTACAGGGCCGCGCTTGGCTCCGGGTCCCTCCCGGAGGTGACCCATTTCCCCGCTGCTGGCGAGCCGCGCGGGTCTCCCTTCGGGGTCCTTGAGCCTCCGCTGCCGCCGCCTCCTCCCGGTCCCCAGGCTTCCCTGGTCTGCTGGTGGGGCTCCAGGAGCTGCTGAATAATGGCCTGTGGAGCTGAAACGGTGCAGCCCAAGCCTCTGGCGTTTCCACGCACGCCCCGAAGTGCCTCTGTGCGTTGCAGAGTTTCACCTCTCCATTCCCCTGCTCTCTCCGGGCCGCTGGGAAGGGATCTAAACGCAGCGCTAGGTGAATGCGGTCCTTGTTGGAAGGCTCGTGCCGCCGCTCTCATTTTACCCGTGGAGCCCGAGGCCACTTAATAAAGACATATGCTACGAGTAGACGGACCTAGTCCTTCCTAGTTGCGGATGTTTGCGAATTCCCAGCGAGTTTGCTGAAATGGAACCCCCATGTGCGGTGGCAGGATATCTGTGAAAGCCAGCTGTTGGGGATCTACGGGGAAGGGCCATTGGTTTTACCTCTCCCTTATGAACGCTGGAGAGTGCTGTAAGAAGAATTAGGATGGGGCTTGCTGTGATAAATCAAGCCAGTGCCCACACGTTTTAAAAAATTGACCCAATTGGAGTGACCCTACTTGCGTTCGATATGCCGGTTCTGTATAAAAGATCAGGAAAGTTGCTGGCCTGGTTTTCTGCGTGAATGGCTGGCTGAGAAGTTGTTCATGGAAATAGTTTTGATCTAATGAGAGCCCCTGTGGTCTAACGTGAAGGGGGCTGGACTGGTTCAAATCCACTCTCAGCAACAGAAACACACAGGGCGACTTTGGATCAGTTGCTTTCTCTCAGCCCGGCCTACCTCACAGGGCTCTGGTTGTGGAGAAAAAATGGAGGGAGGGCACACTAAGTCCACCGCTGAACGAAAGGCAGGATAAAATCAAAATAAAAGGCAATATCCAGTGGCCAGTTTTGAAAAAAGGCCTTTTCCAAGAGGCTGATGAAAGGAGGTCTGTGGTCTCCATTTCTCCTCCCCAATTTTTGCTTTACTGTGCAGACAGCTTCATTACCCCTGATGCTTGTCAGGCTGTCCTGTTTGTCCACTCACCTAGACAAAACTCCTTTGTTGCCTTTGGCGGAGTGCTTAAAGACACAGCTGGAATGAGTCTTAGAATTGCAGTAAAGGTAACTGCTTTCAGCAATAAGATGTAAGAGTGTGACTTGTTCACAGTGATGTTTGGGCTTGGGGGTCATGGTTACTCTGGGCTTTTAGTTATGAAGGGGGAAGAACCATAGCAGGGAAAGGTGAGGTGTGTTATGTATCCAAACTTTTGTGCATCTCCCCTTAAAATACATGAAAGATCTCTCTCTGAGGACTTGCAAGCTGCAGCAGCCCAAATAAACTATAGGGAGCAAGACAGGACAAGTGATCTGATGTAAAGCAGTTCCATAGGATCATGTATATGTGGCAGTACATGATCCATGGTAGTGCCTGCTTCCTGTTCAAATCCCTATGGATTACTGTAACAAGTGGGCATCTTGGTGCTTGGCCCTGATTTCTTTCCTTTTTTTTTTGGACGCCCCATGAGTCTGCAAAGGTTTTGTTCACCAAGCTGCAGATCCTTAACGTTTAGAACTGTCCTGCATCCATTGAGGGTGAGGTGGGGGGTTGCCCAAATAATTCCCAGTTACTTCAGCTGAATTGCACAACCAAAAGATGAGGTGGCAGCTGGAGAAAATGTGGAGCTTTTAAAAGAAAGGGAAGCATGAAGCTGTGTGGGAGAAGAAATGAATGGTCAAAATTCAACTGACGGTGGCATTTTTGAAATACAGCTTTTAATAGCATGGAAGATGGGTTCTTTTTTCTCTCTGCTCTTTCTGGCCAAGTGGAAGGGCATTGATTGATTGAGGGGGAATGTCCCCATGAACAGTGCTAATCAGACAGTGGGCGTGGCTTCACTGGGTTCTTTTTTGTTTTTTTTAAAAAAACCCTTTAAAACTAGATTCTTTTGTACTGCCATCTGAGCAGGTCTCTGCAGATGTGAACAGCGCAGCTTGCTTCGATGTGGATGGGAGGAAAATGGTATGTCAGGAGTCTTGTCATAATGAACTCTTTGTGATGTGTCTGAATCCCGGATCTCCCTTTGTTGAACAGCATGTAAATCTCTCGGGAGGGAGGTCCGGAGAAAAACCTGTAATCATTTTCATTAAGTCCATTTCAGCAGTGGAAAGGCTTTAACAAATGCCTTCTTCCGCCAGATGGACTATAAGTAGGCACTGCTAAAGGCTGGAGCTTTCTTCGGCCCTCCCTACAACAGGAAGAACTTCGGTTCTGGAAATCTTATTCTGTTGCTACTTGCTGTTGATAGAGTGTACACCTGAAATGCCCCCCCCACCTTGAAGCATGTCCTTACTTATTTACTGGGGCTTGACACAGCTCAGGTAGCAGAAATAAATTGGAGTTGCAGTATAGTACGGAATGCTATTTTTATTTGCATCTGCAAAACATTAGAGAAAAATTCATGGGGAAGCCAACATTTGATCTGTTTTCTCTTCAATCCTGTGATGTCATTTGCACAACAATATTTGCTGACAGACTCCAGAAGAGGGAGCTGTGCTGGGCTCTTAGCAATTGCAAATCCTGTGGCTCCTTAAACAGAAGCAGATTGGCCACACCATAAGCTCCCCTGGTTGCTTTCTCACATGCACAGCGCCTTTGCCAAAGCTTGCAGTTTCCAAGACCTGGATCCAACCCTTAAATGAAGCAGGATATCTTCCCCGTTGCTGCTACTGAATTTGCTAACTGGGAGGGCAAGCAGCGTCATTTTGACTGTAATCCTTTGCACATTTATTTGAGAGTAAGAGTCATTAAATCTGGTGCGGTTGCTTCCCAGTAAATGTGATACTGATGTGAAGGACCTGACCTCATTTTCCAGATGCAGCCAAAAAAAAAAAAAAAATGTGTGTAATGGGGCAGAAAACCATACATTGAAATGTATAGGTATTTTCAACATGCTTGTGTGTCTGGTGATAGATTATTAGCAGGTGAACAGGGAGAAACAAAATGCAGACTCACTGGGACGCATGCTTGAGCTGGCTAGAGAATTTAAGAGAAGCGTGATGTGGTTTCTTGCAACGGCAGCAGCGTCGGGATGGCTTTGTTTCACTAAATGGCTGCATAGAGTTGCACAATTCTAACAAAGACTTAATAAACCTGGTTTTCTATTGTTGGGCAGAGTTAGCCAGGAGCTCCCTCCTTCCCCCAAGCTGACTACTTGACCCAGTCTGTATGCAGTGCCACAGCGGAACAGCAGTTTGCTGTAAGAATATGAGTGTACTTTAAATATTTCAGGATGTAGCTTTAAATATTAAATATTTGCAGGGAGACGTTCTGCCTGACGGATTGAACGGCAAAGAACCTCTAGCGTTACCTGTCACGGGTATCACGGGGCATAGCTTTGGCAAGTTAAAGCAAGGACGGATCCTGTTGAACAGTATGTCCTGTCCAAGCTGGTTGGACGTGGTTTTAACTGCTCCGGTTGAGTTACCAACTTGTTGTGAGTTGCGAAATAATGGATAAATCATCTTTGTGCAGACCAGAGGCGTCTAACCCTCAATAGCAGTAGCTTGCCTGTGAAAGGCCTTAATGTCTTAAAAATTCTGATTTGTTAAACTCTCGTTCTCAGTTGAAATATTGGTTTGGTTATCACAGATACCCTTTTATCTTTTTCCTGGTGCTAAAATCTACCAGCTGTCCACATTCTTGGTCTTCGGTTTTCTTCACCAGATCTCATTTTCAACTAGAGGGAGATCTTCCTTCCTCACCACAAATACTGAGAGGTTAAGCTGTTTAAAGTTAGGATGTCCAAGAAAGTGAGGGACAGTCTTTCAAGTACAGAACATCTGGTAATTCTACTTGCTATTCACTGAATATTACATTTTTATTGAAATAAAAAGTTTGGAGAGCTTTAAACTTAATTTAAAATGTTACAGTCTTTAAAGTAGTCATTTTTAGATTAAATTCAAGGTTCCGTTTTCATGAGCAATTGTAATGTCAAAAAGATCTTCCAGGATTGAAGGCAGCAGCTATATCCCATGTGTTTAGTGAACCAGCGAAGTGTGGTTTATTCAATAAGCCATGGTATAAACATGGTTTACTGTGTTGTACAAGCTTAGCGAACATGATTCTGAGTGCCAGCTGAAGAACTGCATTGATTATGGATTTATATGATCTGAAGAAGATCAGACTATTGAGAAGTAACTACTGCCCTAAGTCTTGGCCCAGCATAATTTTTATGCTCTGCCTTTCTTTAAACCTTGAAATAACTCAGGAAGTTGCAGTAAACTCTGCTCTGATCCCCTGAACACAGGCCATATGCTATAAAATTTTGGTAAAAGTTGTCACTTGGTACATAAATTGCTGACCTCTTCTGCACTCCTAGTTGGATCTCTTTGCGAATAAGTGTGTGAGAAAGTGGTGCTTTTAATATTTTGAACTCAATATTGTTTCACTATCTCAAGTTTATATTGGATCAGGGTCAACATAATTCCCCCCTAACATATGCAAAATCACCAAATAAGGGAAGATACAGTCCAATGTGTTTTCAACATCTTTTCTTCTAAAGGATGTTTCAAGGAATAGAGAAAAGGGTTTGGGCCTGAGGTGGTAACTGCAAATAAGGTACAGATAAAACAGATCTGTGTGTGCTCATGTGTCCATTGATTGAAAGGGAAGACAACTTCTTTTCACTCTGTGGATAGAACTTCATTTAGGCCCCAGTGTATTTAAAAATCTGAATGCACTACTAATTCCAGAGTGAAACTCTGGTTTCATTTATTACATAAATGAAATCATCTAACATGTGGTGGGCCAGCATAAAAGCCCCTTTAGCTTGGTAAATTAAAGAGATAAATGGGGCTAGTTGTGTGGGCTGAATTGGGCCAGCT